AGAATTGAGAGAGAGGAAGTGACGCTGTGGCTCAAGTGGTAGAGTGCTCGCCTTGAGCTGAAGAGCTCAAGGACAGCACACAGGCCCAGAGTTCAGGCCCCACGACCAACAGAAAAAAAAAAATTGAGAGAGAAAACATGGAAGAGGCACTTAGAGAAGAGGCACCTAGGAACTTATAATATGGAAACATTTAGACAAAATTAATTGTAACTGAAGGCAGAATAAATCCATTTATAAGATATGCCAGTTATAAATAAATATCAGGGCAGTTTTGATATGCTTCAATCTGACTCTAAACAAAGGAAAGAACAAGAAAACTTTTAAATTATAAGTTCATATGTAGATTCTGGGGCTATTATAACTTAAGTGCTCTTTACAATTACCAACAGGCAAAGCAATCAAATGAGAACATTCTATTGTCCTATTATCAAATCTGTATTGGTATATTTACCCAGCTCCTATACTATTAAAGAAAGATGAGAATTCCTTTCCTTAAAGCCAATCTCTACATGAAAACTCAAGATTACATCCCTCTCATGTTTTTAAGGACTTCCTTCCAGCAATTACCATGTTTATGGCACATTATCAATTGCTAAATCGCTACTGACTTAATCACATCAGCAAAGAAATAGTCTCTATTATGCATGTAATTACTATTTCCTCCAGCTCCTGCCCTATTCCTCTGCTTCCAAGTCGTGGCATGTTTTTTTTGAAGAGTGGTCTACCCTTGCAGCTTCAGATTGACTTGTTCCCATTTTAGCCTAGTTTCATTGTGCTTTTGTCTCCAACATTCTTTAAATAGCTTATATCAAAGTAATCAAGCTATCAATTTGGGAAAAACACAGTCAAGTCTGTTCTAATTCCCTCAGTAGCATGTGAAACCTTTTCACTACTCTTTCCTGAAATGCACTTCTCTGGCCTTCCTTGACTTGCTTTCTCTTAGACCACTGCCTCAGCTGTCTTCCCAATATATTGTTTAAAAAGTGGATTTCAGTATGAGTGTAAGGCCACATACATCTAATTATCTACTTCAGAGCTATCTTCAAATACCAAATTCTACTTTAACAATTGTCCCTCCACGTCAACATTCCTTTTCTCATTACAAAGTACCAATGGCATCTGCACATGTATTGAAACCCAAGACAGAAGTTATTTCTCATTTCTTTTCTTCCTTCACTTTGGATGTATCACCAAGTCCTAATGAAAATATTTCCAAAATATATCCCAAATCTGTCTACTGCCTGCATCCTCATTCTTAACACCCCAGTCTAGTCCTATCATCTCTTTCTTGGACTACAATAACATCTCTCTGCTTGGAAGACTGTTATTCTATTTGCCATGGCTTGTATTTCTAGTTTAAAAACTCCACAATCACTAGTTCCTTTAAAAAGACCTGCATGATCTATTTTGATCACCTCTGCAGCTCTGTCATAAAACCCATTCCTTGCTTTTTCGCTATCTGGTGAGTTCTTTCTGTTCCCTAAGTGTGTCATTCTTAGATTAGGACTTTTGCAAGAAATGACCAGCTCCTTTTAAGTGTTTCTAAGAGTCCTTCCACAATCTCCCCCTTAGAGTCATTTCCCATTATTCTTTGACCTATTTTATTTACTTTCCAGCATTCATTGTTTGGAATTACCTCATTTAGTCCCTTTGTATGCCTATCTTAAAATGTTTGTGTCCAATGCTACATCCCAAATCTAAAACATACTGGTAGGCACTCAATAATTGTTTCAAAAAATTATTTTTTAGTACTGGGAACGGAACTTAGGATAGAGACAACATGCTAGTTTTCCCAGTCATTAGTTGAAATGAAGTCTTGTAAATTTCTTTTTAACCCAAGCTGGCTCCAAATTGTGTTCCCTTGATATCTGCCTCAAGCTAAGATGACAGGTTTGAGGCACTGTACTCGAATAGTTAAAAGATTCTTAATTTAAAAATAATAAAAATAACTGAGTCTTTAAGGTAAAAATCTGTCTGGGATTTAGGAAAGAAATACCTTACCAGTATCTGGTGAAAGAAAGTTTATTATCCAGGGTACAGAATATAAAAATGCATAAATAAGCCCTGCTATTAAAAATTAAACTCTTGAGAAGTATTTCATTTAACAAGGAAAGAACAGTTCTTAGCCAAATGCTGCTGGACAAACAGACAGCCTCATACAAGACAGTGAAACTGGACTTGCACATCATATAATAAACAATCATTTAAAAAGTCATAAACCGGGGCTGGGAAGGTGGCTCATGGTAGAGTGCTTGCCTTGCATGCATGAGGCCTTGGGTTCGATTCCTCAGCACCACATAAGCAGAAAAAAGATGGAAGTGGCGCTGTGGCTCAAGTGGTAGAGCATTAGCCTTGAGCTGAAGAGCTTAGGAATAGCACCCAGGCCCAGAGTTCAGGCCCCATGACTGACAACAACAACAACAACAACAACAAAGTCATAAACCTAAGTGTATAAATTAAAACTGAAAAAGCTATGAAGAAAATTCTGGAAGAAAACTTTGAAACCCAGGGTCAGGAAATGTTCTCTTACATATAACACAAAAAGTACCAAAGATAAAGTAGAAAAAACAAAAACAAACAAAAAAATTTCTCTACATTTCATAAAAACTAAAAGCTTTTATTTTTAAGGGGAAGCATCAACAAAATGAAAAGAATCCACAGAATAGTGCAAAACATCAACTGGATAGTTGTACCCAGTATCAATAAAAAAGTATTAAAAGTGAACAATAAAAAGGTAAAAAAAATTTTTTTAAAGAGTGGATAGCACATCAAAATGCTCAATATTACTAGACAAGGTAGAAATGCAAGTTAAAGTAACAATTAGAGAACCATTTATTATTTACTAGAATGGCCTTCATAAAAAAGATGACCACAAAGTTTATGAGGATGAGAACAAACTAAAAGCCTCATACCTTGCTTGAAGGACTCTGACATGGTACTAGAGTTTGGAAGTTCCTCAAAATGTTAAATATAGTTATAATATGACCCCAAAATTCAGATGAATAGAAACATGCTTCCATACCAAAACTTATACATATTTGTTCATAAGAATTATTCTGAGTAGCTAAAAAGTAAACTACCTAAATATTCACAAATTAATGAAAGATGTAATATATACAATGGAATCTTTGGTGGTAATAAATCATAGTTATGGAACAATCTTGGAAACAATTATTTTGAGTAAAAAAAAGCCAGTTTCAAATGATCATATATGACTCAATGTATGCCCAACATGGGCAAAGCCATAGAAAGTATATTATTCTTGGTACGTTTTGTCGTGTGTGTGTGTGTGTGTGTGTGTGTGTGAACTAAGAGTGCTAACAGATAAAGGGTTACATTTTGGAATCATGATAATGTTCTACAATCAAAGCGGGTATGATTGCACAATTGTGAATATGGTAAGCAACAACAACAAACTAACTGTGCACCCTAAAAGTGTAAATATATGGTATTTGAGTTATAGCTCAGTAATAATCTAACATAGAACAGCAACACATTAGTAAGGTTAATCTTCTAGATCATAACTAATTTCAAATATACATTATTCATTTTTTCAACGAACTTTTACTTGTTAAATATGAGGTATACAAAGAGGAAGGTCAGACTTATCACTCCCAGAAAGTTTCCAGATTAGTAGAGCAAACACTAGGATTCTTTACTCTTTGGACATTATAAAGGAGGGATATGCAGCATTACAAACAGAGGTATGCAGTATATTTATTTGGGGTTGCAGAAGAAATGAGAATGGAAGAAATAGCTTTGAATTGCTATTCAGAAAATAAGTTATTTTTGCTACTAGCTAAATATTATGCACATGAAGAAGACTTAGTGATCTTGGAGCTGTAATCATTATACTAATCACTGCTATCAGGAACAAGTTTCCTGAACATCTGAAGTCCAAGTCAGAGTATAGCTTGTTCTCTTCCCTTCCTCCCCCCCCCCATCTTCCTTCCCCTGGTCTATATTTGATATCCTGTTGACTGATAATTAGGCAAAAATGTGATGGGATCTGACTGATACTGAACAACTCAGCAATGGGGCAAGACCAGTACTTTCTGATACGCTTCCTTTTTTTAAGATGCCCCAGAAAGGGGGAAAAAATGGAGAGCCTGCTATATTACATGTGTGGGCTGCATAATAGGTATTTGCTAAACAAAACAATTGTTTTTCTCCCTGTATTGACACTATATAAAGCAGTCTTTGAGCACATATACAATTCTAATTCTTTCCATTTGGATGTCTCATATTTTATTTTATAACATAAATTATATTTGATAAATGATTGTCTATTCAACTGAATTTTGAAAGAGGGCAGATGAAAAAGAAAGAATGAAAACTGATGTTCTCAGCAACTGAGTTAAAGGTTTTCCATAACAATAGGTTTGGTGATAGTAGGAGGTTAGCTGCTGTTTGTATCTAGATACATTTCAGTTAAAATTGTCTAATAACCAAGAACCTTTTGTACACTACTATCTTTATATAAAATCTGAGGCTTCAATAACCTTCAGTTTTCTCCCTTTTAGCAACAATAGTTTACTCTGTATCAGCATATAGTCAAATGGGAAAAAGAAATGGAACCAGCAAATAAAGAGAATTTTCACCACAGCACATCACAGATGTCCAGTTTATATGTATTTCAATGTTTATAAATTTATCATCAGACACCCACCAAAACTGTAATGGCTGATGTCTCTTACACATTAAGTATTATATAAAATTCACCTCAAAGAATACACTGATCTTACTGATCCCTTACTAAAAGTATATCTGAATAAGAAATCTTCAAAATTGTGATGCTAATTGTTAAGTATTTACCCATACTGAAATTTCAGGTTCCAGTATTATAATTTCTTGACAAATCTGAATTCCAATAAAGAATGTAGAGATCAGGGTAATTTTTGTAAAAGGTGAAAACTCTATAATGGTGCATTCCAACTCTTTGGGATATCACAACGCAAACTGTAGTTTAAGTTACCATCCTGGTAATAAAAACTACTTACTTTTGCAGCACAGGACCGTATCACCTCCTAAAAGAAATACAGTACAATAAAGAAGTATTCATGATTTTATTAAAATATTGACTCTTTTCAATACATTCAGATGTCAATCTTCTAATAACTAAAACCAGAGCCTGATCATTTCTTTATTATTCCGCAGTTGTAACTGCATTATTTCCAATGAGCTGGAAAGAGTATAATTTAAAAAGACTTCATGAAATATTCACGATAAATCTAACTTGCTAATATAGCAAAGGTACTCCTAAGGCCCAAGAAAGACTTTCCAAAAAAAGACTTGCTTCCTCAATACAACTAGCATTTATAATAAAACTACTAGAGCACTGACAGATTTAAAATATATACTCAGAATTCATGTATCTCTATAATTGATAGCTACCATTTCCACATTAGCAGTTTATATCAGACAATTTCCTATAAACAGCACTAATTATAAGGAATATAACTATCCTTAAAAGGCTAAAAAACAATGGCTTATAATTCACAGGACAAGGCGAAGAATCATTTTTAGAAGAGGAACTAGTGTTAAATCAATGGATAATTTGAAAGTATAAAACCAGTACTAGTACTATGTTACAGTATGATTTGAGGATTAAATATAGCAAAGCATATAAAGCACTTAGTGCCAGAAACCTATAGTAAGTATTACTAAGGATGAAATAGATGTTATCACTAATAAATGTACAGTAAAATCTCCTGTAAGCTGGAGAAGATCAATCTTTTTCTCCGAACTGATATAAAATACTTGCATACTCTTCCAATTCCTATATCTGTGACTTTAAACTAGCACCACTGTGACTTCTAATGAGAAGTTTTTGTCTTCAAGTAGCTAGAGATATCTAGCTTTCATTATAGGATTTCCTATCACAGATTTTGGTTTGTAAATCAACTCATTGTAAAATTTTTTACTCTTAGTAGGTACCCTAGATTCTAATCGACTGTGGTTAAACTAATAAGAACAAATTCCTGGATCAGAAAATGCAGAATGCATTGAATGTGAGGTCTTACCTGGGTTGTAGAAATGTTTTTTAGTTATTACCTTGGTATTGATATTAACTCAACTATGAAACAATTAAATGATTTATGTTATAAGTAAATGGCTATTTCATTACTTTTATGTCCTTTACTATTTAATATCTGCTAAGCTGAAATTATCATGCACTTCACACACACACACACACACACACACACACACACAGAGTCACATGCTGAACCTAAATGACATTAGGAAAAATTCCTACTTTAGTAACAAAACTAATTACCTTTAGTAATACAGTCTTCTATAAACTGGAAAACAACCTATACATGGAAAGGAATTTGGAATCTACTGAAATATAACTATAAGAAACGACAGAAAAGACAGTGTGACAAAGGTGGGAATTCCATTGACCTAAATGTTTGCAAAATACAAAAAGAACGAAGAGGCAATCCCAGATAATATCTGATAAAAAATTCAGCAAATTCTCTCTACACAGGAACAAAAATGATGTATTTTTAAAAAATGCATAGCACATACACAACACTTTCTTTTTGTTTTTTACAAAGGCAACCTTTATCTCAATCCCAGAGCAGGTATATTCTAATTTTTAAAAAGGAAAGATGTAAAGGCTGGGACTGGTAGCTCACTCCTATAATCATAGCTACACAGGAAGCTGAGATCTGAGGATCGCAGTTTAAAGCCAGCTCGGGCAGAAAAGTCTGTAAGACTCTTTTTTTTTTAATTTAATTTTTTTTGTGAACATACTGTACAGAGGGGTTACAATTACATGGGCAGGATAATGCGTACATTTCTTATCAAGCATTGCAGCCTCCTCCTTTGTTTACCCTTCACATCCCTTCCCAGTCTCCCCCCCACACCCCACACCCAATCCTCCCTCCCTCCCTCCCCCCCCAAAGTCTGTAAGACTCTTATCTCCAATTAACTATCAGAAAACCAGAAATAGCACTGTGGCTCAAGTGGTAGAGGCCCAGGCTCCATGACCAAAAAAAAAATAATAATAATAAAAAGGAAAGATGTGGTAAAAGCTAAATAAATTAAAGAGAAAAAGTACTTTCAATAACAATTATCAACGTATTTTCCTTCATTTGTTTTCATTTCTTAAAAATATTTTTGTTTAGTCTTGAGCTGAAGAGCTGAGGGACAGTGCCCAGGCTCCAGAGTTCAACCTCCACGACCGACAAAAAATAAAAATTAAAAAAATATATATACATATATGTTGTTTATTCTTACTACCTTTGTATCTACTTTATTCTATTCTCACATTTCTTTCATTTATCTGAAAATAGTAGGAGTATAAAATGATATTAATATGAGAAAAGCCACAAGACCAAGGTGATTTCAGGATGTTGAGTTTAATATTGAAAGATTGATAGAATTAAATTATAGGGAACTTAAAAAATATCTATCACCAAGTTGCTCTTACGTCTATAGAGATTTTACTATGTAAGATTTTAGATGATAAATCATTTATGTTTTCTACTGAAGTAGTTTCTTTACACTTTAAAAACTGAATGTATCTATTCAGATTTACTTTTAAAATCTGGACTATCTCTGATTGCTTTCATTTTATATTAAAGTATTAAAGGAACTACCACACTGAAATAATTTTTAATTTAAACCATATTCAACAATTTAACTGAGAAACAAAAACTAGTTTCAACAATCTAAATCCAGAGCTGAGTATAATTTGCACTTTGGTCTACCTTAAAGACTAACTTCTAAAAAAGAAGAAAAGGCAAGAAGTAGCTATAGTCAGAACTAAAACATCTCAAAGTCATTCACTGAATATTTGGTTTAAAATTTTTTTTCTAAAATGCTTAACTTTCTTAATACATCTTATCACTTGTCTTTAAGAAAGAAATCTAGCAATTTACACTAAGAACATACCACATCACCTTCAACAAAGCATCCTCTTTCTCCTTCCACTATTTATTTTGAAGTTTAATGGATAATACATCTCTTTTCCTATAACCTTTAAAATAAAAGTTGTAGGAAAAGAAATGCATATATATACTTTTTAGAAATTACAAGTTTATTTCTTTTATTCATGCTTTTGAAATTGCATTGTCTTTATTATTTAATTTTATGACAATTAAGGAGGCTCTTACTTTACTAGATTTTATGTAAACAGGTTGATGTTTGGTATGTGCATGTGCTGTTTGTGTATGTATGTGTGTATATATATGTATATAAATAATATATATGGTATATATGCATATAAAATAAATTCATATATAATATATAATGTATAGTATTTAATTATATGCTTATGATAAATGAAATATTTATATAATATAGAAAATGATATATTATGTATATAATATATATTACATATTGTATATATCACATATACACACATATAAATACATTTATTATTTTAAACAGAAATTTAAAGTTCTATACTGATAGTACAGGAGGGGAAGATTTTCTACTGCTTTTAAGATTAAGACAGTTAGGACAAATAAATATATTACATAAGACAAATATTTTTCTTTTTTTGTTTTTTTTTTGGTGTGTGGTTTTTAGTGCTGAAGGGGTAGCCAAAGTCTTTGGAATTCTAGGCAAGCATCTTATTACTGAGCCTCATGGCTAGCTGGTAGTTTAAAACAATTTTTACTTTTGTATTTAGCTCCTTGGCCAAAGATGATTTGACTGGGATGTGAGACCTAGGATGTAGCTAGAAAGTGAATAAAGTTCTCAGTTAACTAATAATTTGCAAGCTTTCCTAATACCACACAATGAACCATTCCTACTTTCTCCATTGATCTGTGTATCTTTATGAATTTGCATCACACTTTTTTTTTTTAATCATGATCTCATCTTTGTAACATGTTTCAATACCTGGTAAGACAAGAACTGGTTTCATTATCATTCTCTTCTCCTACCTGGCTCTTGTGGAGAAGCAGAAAGATAAATATAGCCAGTTCTTCTATCAAGGTATCTATGGAATTTCTTCTCACATTTTTCTCTCTTTCCAAGCAACAATGATAAACAATGTGCACAGTCTATCTCATACTCATTTCTCTATTATCAACTGTAACATATTTGGTGATACAATGGATTATACACTCTGTGAAATTTACATCTAGCATCTCACTGTATCTTTTTTTTTGCCAGTCATGGGGCTTGAACTCTGGGCCTGGACGCTGGCCTTGCACTCAGCTCAAGGCTAGCGCTCTACCACTTGAGCCACAGTGCCACTTCTGGTTTTCTGGTGGTTTACTGGAAATAAGAGTTTCACGGACTTTCCTGTCTGGGCTGGCTTTGAACCATAATCCTCAGATCTAAGCCACCTGAGTAGCTAGGATTACAGGCATGAGCCATAGGTGCCTGGCGCATCTCACTGTATCTTAATCCAGTAAAGTGAGAATATCAGAATCCCCCTTTTACAGATGAGGAAAATTAGGCTTACTTAATTTTCTCAGTCATAAAACAAGTAAATGTGAGAAGCTGTTCATCTATACTTGTATATAACACAGTCTAGCCTAAAAGCTACATTCTTTTTTTTTTTTTTTTGCTGGTTGTGGGGGCCTGAACTCTGGGCCTGGGTGCTGTCCCTTGGCTCTTCAGCTCAAGGCTAGTGCTCTACCACTTGAGCCATGTCTCCAATCCTTTTGCTTTTAGTTTGTTTTTCAGATAGGTTCTCATACTTCTTGTAAAGGCCAGCCTTGAATCATGATCCTCTAACATGCCTCCCCAGTAGCTGGAATTACAGATATGTACTACCACACTCAAACCTTTTTCAGAATTCTTAAAGTGTTTTTCCAAAATTAATCCTTAGCCTATATTATTAATCTTACATTTTAAAGAGTTAACTTTACTATTTTCAATGTCAATTTAATTGAATCGTTTTATCTTAGTCAGATATCTTTTTAAAATAAAAAACTCAGACTTACTTTTCATTTCTTCTTTAAAAGAAACCCCAATTTCTTGTGCTTCATCAACACAATCTAAAATATTGTTTTTTATAGCAAAACATTTTAAGATAATGCTTTGCCTTTAATTGTTTTCTTTATTAATATGCCTTAGCTTTTTAATGGCCCTATGGCTTCAAATAAAATTTATTATTATCGGCGGGGGAGGTGGCTCAGTGGTAGAGCGCTTGCCTTGAATGCATGAGGCCCTGGGTTCGATTCCTCAGCACCACATAAGCAAAAAGAAAAAAAAAGCCAGAAGTGGCGCTGTGGCTCAAGTGGTAGAGCGTTAGCCTTGAGTTGAAGAGCTGAGGGACAGTACCCAGGCCCAGAGTTCAGGCCCCACAACCGGACCCCCAAAAAAAATTATTATTATCTTTGAACACCAATAACCTTGTACTGATTGTTCAATGGGTTATATGCAGCAGCTAAACTTTTTACCTATTTCTGGTGTATTTGGGTATTCCTGTTATGTATACTTTGAATTATAGTACAATTTTTGTTTCTCAAATTTTCTTTTTCCTGGCTTTGTTTTTATTTTCCTTTTTATTGGTTTGTGAGGGTAATTTAGTCCTGAGATACTAAATATTGTTGGCTATTCTTTTAAAATCAAACTCTCTACTCATTTGGAAAATACTACCTTCTGCTTCTAATGACTTCTTAATTTTTCTCTCGTTTTTATATAAATCCTACCATTGTATATAGCACCAGCAGAGGCTGAACAATTACACATTGGAAACAATTATTCTCTATAAAGTTAGAAGTGCTTTAAAAAGAGTAAGAAAGATTATATTGTTAGTAGTTGCAAAATCTAAAAAAAACTTTCCATCTATCTTTTGAGCAGACACAGTTTTCTTGTTTATAAAAGAAGGATAATAATCACCATCTTGCATACTTTACAAAGCTGTTATGTTAAAGGAGATAATGTGAGCTTAACAAACCTGAATGTTTATTAAAAGACTGTCTTACAATATAGCTTGAATTTTGGTTGCCATCTATCAAACTTGAATATTTTTGTGTTCTTCTGTACATAGATATCAATAACTATATGAGATAAATAAGTTTTTTTTGTTCTATTTGTTAGACTGAAAATTTCATAGTTAAGTTATATTCGGTCAACACTTTCTAAAAAGATAGTGAACATGTGCAGGGCAATGATGTTTTTTTTTTTTTTTGTCAGTCGTGGGGCTTGAACTCTGGGCCTGGGCGTTGTGCCTCAGCTCTTCAACTCAAGGCGAGCGCTCTACCACTTGAGCTACAGCGCCACTTCCAGTGTTTTGTTTTGTTTTTGCCACAGGCTGTTAATAGGTGACTAGAACCTGGACATATGGTAATACAAATAGAATTAGAGATAAGAACTCAAGGCAGAAGGTCAGGAATGGGAAAAAATATCAACAATAAGGAATCTTTAAAAGACAAAGAATTAAAATTAAAGGGACATATGAATGAAGCTAGGAAAGCATTGCACAGATAAAATAAGAGCTTTTATGCAAGGAAAATTTAAGGATTCAGTTTTCCTTTAGATTACCCACCTATTAAATAGTTATTTAAAAAACTATGTGTGCACATCAGAAGATAGGTCAATAAGAACTGCCTTCTAGGAACTTACAGTTTAGACAGGACATGAAACAACTATTTAGTAAGCTCTTTCTAAGTGCTGGAGACAGTGAACCAGACCAGCTATTAATATGTGGTTCTTTAACCAGAATGCATCAGCATCACCTGGGAATTACTTTTCAAAAATGCAAAATCATGAGGCTACTGAATAACTGACTCTGAAGTGGAGCCCAGCAGTCTGATACACAGACTGAAGTCCATGGTATAACCCATTTTCACTGTATTTGATGTTGGTATAATTTGTGGAGGGGAAGGGGAAAAACCAACTGTTTAAATAGGGATACAGGTGGACCCATTGCAACAATGAGATGTACAAGACGTTATGTCGAAAAATGAACTTTACAACTTTGGTGCAAGGGTATGGGGGGAGATGGGAAGGGATGGTAAGGGGAAACAAAGGAGGAGGCAACAATGCTTGATAAGAAATGGACTCATTACCTTGCTCATGTAATTGTAACCCCTCTGTGTGGTATTTTCACAATAAATAATAAAAGAACCACTGAATAAATAAATAATAAAAGAACCACTGAAAGAGACAGGAGATCTCAAGCATGATTATATAAGATGTTGAAAGCCTGGGAATAAATTACGTGTTAGAATACTATTTGTCCTTTAAATAAGTAGTTTGGTGATTTAGCTCTGAGAATTCCTAAGTTGATAGTCTAAACCTGTAGCTCCCATCCTTCCCCAAAGGGGTCCTAGGATAGGACTGACATAGCTATAGTTTCTCTTCCTTTCCTAGTAGATGGGTAGGGCCGTACCAATGTGGCAAGTCCTAGGTGTGGTCTTCTGATTTAGAGCCCTCCTTCACCACTCCTGGGCTGGTCTTTACAGAGATAGCAAGTCACACCAGCAGGATGAATTACCCTAAATTTAGCCAGTCTATTGCAATTAATGAATTCAGAACAAGCACTTGAAAGTAACTATAAAAGCATTAAAAAACCTAGTTTTAAGAAATTTAAACCAATAGAAATGGTTTAAAATTTGAACTGTATAAGATGATTAAACATACTGTGACAGTTTCAAGTCTTTGTTTCACTAGCTGCATCTTGGTTGAAGAATTTTCAGTGTTTACAAATTCATCAATCTGAAAAGAGCCTTGATGGGGCAGTTTAGGACAGGTGCACAATGCATCTTCACTTTGATGTATTCCAGGTAATGGAACTGTTCCATTATAGCGTTTGAACATTTCAGCCTCCTGCTGAGCTACTGAAAAAAATGAATTCAAAATTAGTTCAAATCATCACAGCAAAAGCATCATTGAATAAAGTCACGGAATGGGAATATTTAATAAATGATCAGAAACCACACAATGCATTCTAAATAGTTGTTAATGAGAAGACAATATAACTAGAAAATGTGAAATTATTAGATACTATAAAACCAACAGGAAGGAAATATAATAATTTCACAAGTTCAAGTAATTGAGCCTTGAAGGCTTAAAAATGTAAATATAATTCTGGAACATGAAAATTAACTCATAGTAATTGTATGGCATGAGGAAAATAGGAAAGAGATTTTGAAAGGGCACGAAATAACTTTTGTGGGTTGATGGACCTATCATTACTATTATTGTTATTGTGTATGGGTGTGTCAGTCCTAGGGCTTTAACTTGGGGCCTGGTGCTGTTCCTGAGCTGGTTTTTGCTTCAAGCTATCACTTGAGCCATAGTTCCACCTTGGGCTTTTTGGTGGTTAACTGGAGATAAGAGTCTCAGAAACTTTCCTGCCTGGTCTGTCTTCCAACCATAATCCTCAGATCTCAGCCTTCTGAGTAGCTAGGATTATAGCAGTGGCACCAGCTAAACTTTTAATCTTAAGGTATTCTAAATATTGGAATAGAGAGCTTAATGCCTGGCTCAAATTACTGAGTGATTGTTAAGCAAGCACAGACTCTGAGTTTAACCACTAGTATTGCCACACACACACACACAAAAACAACCTGCTTAAAAACTTGAAGACAAATAGCATATTTAGGACTAGAAGCATGTCTAAAGTGTTAGAGCACTAACATAGCATCTGTGAGGCCTTGAGTTAAACTCCTAGTATCACATGGTAGCCTATCAACAAGTGGTGACCTTAGGCAAATTACTTCATTTTTCCTGAGACTTTCATTTTTATATTTTTATAAAATTTAAGACAATGCTTTTCTATAAAACTTATAACTTTAATTCAAACGTATTTTCACATTTGTAGGATGCGAGGCATTATATTTAACAGGGCATTATAAAGATTTAGGCAATGAGCAGGGTTATATAACAAAAACTTATAGAAGCTTAAAGGTTTTTTTTTGTTTTGCTGAACTAGAAAAGCTGAACTAGTAAAGCATACTAGAGTATGAAAAATAAATCAACAACAAAGAGTGCAAGTGATCATTAATGAATTTGAATTCTATTAGTAAAATTATGTCAATGGAAGAAATCACATATAGTTTGACTAAAGTGTTTTCAGAGGTTTAATCAACTACTTAGCATAAACAATTAGAAAAGAACATGGTAATCTGAGTCCCATATCCTAGCTCAACTTGGTACACAATAGGTGCTCAATAAGGACATGTATTATTGGAGACATGACAACTGAAAAGCACTCCAGTAAATACTGGTTCAGAGGAGACATTGCCACCTAGAGAAAAATGAGGTACAATACCTCACATAATCAATAATACTAAGAACTTCCCAAATTAAGATTTGATTCTATTTAAAATACTATATGCATAATTCTATATGTCAGTACTCAAACTGAATACTGGTTACAAAAATGGTAAACATTCATATTAACTTCCTCCAAAATATAAAAATACAAAGAAATTATACACTCCTCAGAGAAAATGGAAAAAAAGTTTGGTTTCTCAAAAACTGATATTTCAGGAAATCTGTTAGTAAGGCAGTTTAGTGTTATCACATGGGAGTATGGACATAATGACCATACAGTATTGCTTTAATCCCTGGTTCCTGTAAAATAGGAATAATGTAACAGTTATTGCATAAAATTGCTATGAAAATGTAAATAGAGGTGCTGGGAAGGTGGCTCAGTGGTAGAGTGCTTGCTTTGCATGTGTGAGGCCCTGGGTTCAATTCCTCAGCACCACATAAGCAGAAAAAGCCAGAAGTGGTGCTATGGCTCAAGTGGCAGAGTGCCAGCCTTGAGCTGAAGAGCTGAGGGGCAGCACCCAGCCCCAGAGTTCAGGCCCAACGACTGACAAGAAAAAAGAAGGAAAAAGAAAAGAAAAAAAAAAAAGAAAAAATATAAATAGATATAAAGTGCTTGAAACAGTACTAAGGGCATTGAAAGTGCTAAATGGGTACTGTGATTTTATCTACATGTACAACAGCACCCTAGAGACTCAAACAGGGTAAAATTGATTAATAACAAAACATTAATTGCTAAATTCTGTCATTGTAAAATTAATTCAGTAGAAGCCGTTTCTCTGATTAGCACTTTGTTATGATGAGAATCCTTCAAGCACATTACTTGTGGTACTCTGTGACTAAATTTCTTACTACTAGATGATTAACCTTTTCAAGATCAAGCAAATAAAACTATCTTCTGAAAGTAAAAATTGTATTTCTTAACAAAAAAGCAAAAAGTCAGTAGACGGAAAGGCTCAAAAGACCACAACCTGAACATATGCTTACCAGAGAAAAATGCTTGCTCACTCTTCACAGATTTTGCTAGAACTGAAAGATGAATGATACATAAAGCTACCACAGTCTCATTCACAGCCTACTTAGCTTACAAAAAAATGAACTTGCTTCTTCTTACTTGGAAATTATCACAAGTTCTGGTTAATACTCACTTAACTGTCTAGGCCTTTTATTTTTTATACTATTAAAATTTATTTTAAAACCAAATGTAAACTTTATTTTCAGGCAAAATATTTCTATATTAAAAAAGATAAACCTAAGATAGGCCAATCAAATATTATAATTTTCAATGAAAATTTTAAATATGATTTGAATTGACAATTCTGGCCTGTATTCAAGTAGTGAAAAATTTCAGTGTGTGAAGTGATTTATTTTTTATGGACCTTTACCATTCACAAGGATTGTGCTAAATCTTGGATGCTTAAAGTTATTTCTCCTAAGTTTCTTTTCTTTTTTTTTTCCTTCATGGGGCCTGAACTCTGGGCCCGAGCACTGTCCCTCAGCAGTTCAGCTCAAGGCTAGCACTCTACCACTTGAGCCATAGCTCCACTTATGGCTTTTTCTGCCTATGTGGTAGTGAGGAATTGAACCCAGGGTCTCATGTATGCAAGGCAAGCACTCTACTACGGAGCCACCTTTCCCGCCCTCTCCTAAGTTTCTTATTTTTAAAAACAGGCAACCAATAGTTGGGGAAATGTGTTGATACACTTTGAATTTAAAATTTTTATATAAGTATGTTATTATACAAAAAAAATCTGTGTTCCAAATACACTGCATTAAGTAAGTCTTACTTCATCTGTTAGTATTTGAACATCCTTATTTCTAAACACTCATGCAAATTCTTTCTCTACATTAATACAATGTGGACATAATCTTTTTAACTTTATGCATTTATTTTGTAATACAACTGATCTATAAGGGTATGGACTTCAATAAATGAAAGGCTGACCATCAGAGTAAAGAAACTTCAACTTCATCCCATAGAGAGATAGTTAACACACATTAAAGTCATATCACACATATAAAGTCAAGTGTTTACTGGTAGTAAGTGAACATGATAGTGCTTATGAGTTTGCAAAGTACTTTTATAGTCTTTGTTCCACAATCTTCTAACAAATAACTCTTAGGTAGGGCAGGTACTACCAGTACTAGTAGTACTTTTATAAGGGAATGGAGCTTCAGAAAAGCAAAAAGATTATGTAAGGCCACTGAAATAACAGAACAGGAGGCTTAGCCCTGTGAATTATAGTACCACTAAAATTCTTTGCTTGTTCTGAGTGAAGAAATCTTTTTAACAGTAACAGAAAATAAAATGGTTAGAAAAAAAGAGCTGAAATTTAAGTTGCATTTGTAGTAAAATTTCAGAAGTCTAAAAGGCAAATTAGAAGCTTAATGAAGATTGCTATGAAAACTCAAGAATTTGAGGAAATAATTGTTGCTTATTTCCTATATAACAGTTCCAATATTAAAATGTGTACATAAATCTCTACACTTATATTAAGATTTAGAATGGTACAAAAAAAGAACTATTTCAGGATACATGTCAAAACTAGTCATCAGATTGGGACACTGATGACTTGAGAACTAAATCCATCTTTTCTTATAACCAGGATGATATTTTTCTAACAAATGCTAGTAAATGTTGTGTTGAATGACAATTTTAGAGTTACATAGCATTTTATAAATTTGCATAGAAGTTGTAGAAATCATTTTTTCCCTAGAAAGTTATTTAAAACAAATATAAAATTTGTGTATCATTTTTATGTTAACTCACCAAAAATAGCACATCACCGATACAATAAAAAGAAAAATCCTCAGGTTTATAACTTATCTCAATTGTCTACTAACTTAGATTGGTTAATGCTGATAAACATTAAGCAATTTATTATGTAGATGCTTAACGAAACTATTTATACAAGTACTTCATTCAAATTTTCTACATTAAAATTACTAATATAATGTATATTTATTTAACTACATATGTATTTAGACCTCTTTTGCTTACCAAAAACTGAATGAGGGTATATAATATCCTAAACAAATCAAACAGGCTAAGAAAGACCTTTCATTTTTACACATGAACTAATATATGAAGAAAAAGTAAAACTAATTTTGAGAATGATTGCACTAATAGTAAACTGTAAAAAATTTCAGAATACAAACGAAATATATGAAATATATGACAACTGACATAAATTCAAATAATTCCTAGAAAGTTTTAATTTCTTATTTTCATAATGATAGAAAAATTTTACTTTAGAGGTAAAAAAACATTAGTTTTTGCCTACTTTTTATGTTAAAATTCTGAAAAACTTACTAAAACTACATGCTTTAGTAAAAAAATTAAAATTAATCTGTATTAAACTGAAAATATTAAATAATTATATTTCCTGTGTATAGTCACCTTTTTATTCCCAAATAGTTTTTTTTTTTGTCAGTTGTGGGGCTTGAACTCTTGGCCTGGACACTGTTCCTCAGCTCTTCAGCTCAAGGCAAGCGCTCTATCGACTGAGCTACAGCACCACTTCCGATTTTCCAGTGGTTTATTGGAGATAGGAATCTCAAGGTCTTTCCTGCCAGGCTGGCTTTGAACTGCAATCCTCAGATCTCAGCCTCCTGAGTAGCTAGGATTACAGGCGTGAGCCACCGGCTCCCGGCTAGGGAAAAGTTTTTCATTCACTCATTTCCGTTTATAGTCACACTCCATATCTCCTGTCATTTATTTAAAATGATTTACAAATCTTTCTATGATTTCAACATAAAAGTATAACCATTATTTGTACTTCACAAACACTTAAATTCATATTAATGATACTTACAGAAAAATAAAATGTTGTAACATCAAAATAATGCAAACCGAGCTGGACGCCGGTGGCTCACTCCTGTAATCCTAGCTACTCAGGAGGCTGAGATCTGAGGGTCACAGTTCAAAGCCAGTCTTGGCAGGAAAGTCTGTGAAACTCTTATCTCCAGTAAACCACCAGAAAACTAGAAGTAGCACTGTAGCTCAAGTGGTAGAGTGCTGGCCTTGAATGAATAGCTGAGGGACAGTGCTAACCATTTATTTTACAGCCTTGTATAGTATATTCAAGAAAGCATATTAATTCAAAGATAACAGATTTTACAGAGCTTATGATTTCTGGTCCATTCTATAAACAAATATTATTCTAAGTAGACTTTATCAAGCAAGAAACTTACCATGGAAATCATAAATGTAAAGAAGAATTGGCTCATTCTGCCCAAATGCACAAAATGCAACCATATTTTCAAATGGATGGTAAGAAATATCTCGAATAGGTGACTTAAATGGCAGGTCAGAATACATTGCCACTTGTTCTCCTAAATTAAAAAAGAGAGACTTGATAGCTTTTATTATGACACTTATTTCTCACTTAAGATCTATCTGCACTGTATATGAAAATATTTATAGTAATTTTGAAGCTCACATATTTACATGAAAACCTTGAAGACTTAGAAATGCATGAGTACCATTTTACTAAACAATTATCTATATGATGGATTCTTTTGGGCTTTCTCTATTTCTCAATCCAAACCCTTCCATGAAGTTTTCAAGGCACAAAGTAAACATAAAGGGCTTATTAGAAAGTAAAGTAGACATTGGTAGGAAGCAGGACACAGGCATGGCTAAATTATTTTTTATATTATCTTTAGTTGTATGAAGAGTTGCTACTTTACAAAGCAGTATCTTGATCAGTGTCAATTCAACAGGATGACTATGTTGTAACTAATAAATAATTTTAGGTAAAACTAGAGTAGGAATTACAAAACGTTAAAACAGAAAAAAATAGAGGGATTAATTTTTCTAGTTTGTTGCTTCCCTAGAAGCTACTTGAAGTACCATCTGCTTAAAAGATACCTATGATTAAGGTAAAAGATGACTTAAACAGAAGTTGGTAGAACCTAGGGAAATTAGCCAGAAAACAAACAAAAAAAATCAAAGAGTCTAGATCCATTTATGAATGGGGAAAAGCAACCTGATTCTCCTGATTCATACAAAAATGCAATACAAGGGAAAAAAATGATGTGATCTATTTAAAATAAAGGAAAGAAAAAATATATAAGAAGAAATTACTTTTAATTGAATGAATTTTTAAAACTTACTAAATTTTTTATTAAAAATACACTAGTAGTTTTAGCTTTACTTTTGAAAAAAAAAGATGAGATACAAGTGAACAACAGTATAATGCTTTACTGGAGAAAAACTATACTATTGTTAAGTAAGTGTCAAATATCAAAAACTTTCCTAGGATTGTTTTCTAATGCACAGAAGATATTTAACCATCTATTATAATTCAGTTTAAGATGTTTCTAATTTTTCATTCTATTCCAAAGTAAATGTTTCTCTAAATTCAGTAGGATCTCAATAGCAAGAAAAGAATAAGCCTTGACTTAATGTGGAATTCTAAATCCATGATTTTAGAACAAAAAATAAAATTTAATGTAAGTTAAAGACTTACATTAAAGTCAAAGACTATTCAATTCTAAAAACCTGAAATTAGAATTTTCTTGAAAATGGTAGCTTTCATACTTATTGAAAATTCAACCTCCTTCCTCAAAGAAATCTAAAAGCATTTACCTGTTTCTGGGTTCCAAACATATACTATACCATCCTCACTTCCAGAAAAGAGAAAACTTCCACATGGCGTCAAGGTACTATGAATCTTCTCTCGATAATTTGCTGCACCTACAAATTTCCTTGCAGCCAATCTATAAACAAAAGGATACAAATGTAACCTATTTTAAACATGAAAGAAACTCGTGTGAGAAAATATGTTATTTGTTTTATTGTAATTTTTTGTGCTTGTGTGCACCCATCCAGGATATTAAAGTCAGGCTCTGTGCACTGCCCCTAATCATTTTTTAATTTTTATTATATTTTTATTGTAAAGATATTGTAGAGAGGAGTTATAGTTTTATGAGTAAGGTAATGAGGGCATTTCCTTTTTTTTTTTTATTTTTTGGGTCTGGTTGTGGGGCCTGAACTCTGGGCCTGGGCGCTTCACCTCAGCTCCTCAGCTTAAGGCTAGCACTCTACCACTTGAGCTACAGCGCCACTTCTGGCTTTTTTCTTTTTGCTTATGTGGTGCTGAGGAATCGAATCCAGGGCCCCATGCATGCAAGGCAAATGCTCTACCACTGAGCCACCTTCCCAGCCCATGAGTACATTTCTTATCAAGCATTGTTACTCCCTTTGTTTTTCAGTTGTTTGTTCATTTTCAATGCAGTGTCTTGTACATCTCATTGTTACAATGAGTCAACTTGTATCTTTCAGCATTTTGTTATTTTCCTTCCCCTCCCCAAATTAGAAAAATGTATATACAAGATTCAGAGCACCGGAATCAAATACAGTGAAAACAGGGGTTATATCATGGGGGAAGAACATACAAAAGAAACAAAAAAATCACAGAGTACATTATAAGAACATTAAAAACAACAGGAACAAAGATAAAACCTCTTGTGTGCCTATCTTGGGAGTCATTTCGCTTAGCATCATCTTATATGGTCATTTTGCACAAGATTAGAGCTCTATCACTTGAGCCACAACTCCATGTCTGGCTTTTTGATAGTTAATTGGAGATAACTCTCAAAAACTTTCCTGCCCAATCTAACTTTGAACCATGATCCTCAGATGTGCCCTAAGTAACAGGGCGTGAGCCAGAGGAGCTTGGTGAAAAATGTTTAATACTTAATTTGCATTCATCAAACTATAGTTGAGAATAGGTTATGGTAGACAAGTTATAGAAGAATAAGAAAAGCTGATCTCAGTGCCTAGGGAACTTACCAGGTACTGTGCATTTGGATAAGAGAGATTTAAGTTATGAAAACAGAGCATATTAAATCACCTAAATTGTGGTACACAACATTCTGTCCCTTTTCAGTTATAAGTAATAGCTAACACAATTTCAGTGCTAACTGTGTCAGGTAGGCTATTATATGTACTTCTGTTACTTTGAGATAAAAAGATAGATAATTCACTTTCATTTGGATAGGTATATTTTATGTCTAAATTTGTTCTAAGAAATGTTCTTTCATTGAACTAAATTTAAATGTTTTCAGTTTTTCCCTATCATGAACACAATTTCTAAAAATGATTTTGCGTGTATATTTATGACTGTATTTATTTGCATTATCCCACTTCTGAAATTTTTTTCATGTTTTCAATGTATAATAAATTCTATCTTATCAAATTATTATTATTTTTTGGGGTCCTGTTGTGGGGCCTGAACTCTGGGCCTGGGCGCTGTCACTCAGCTCTTTAGCTCAAGGCTAGCGCTCTACCACTTGAGCCACGGCGCCACTTCTGGCTTTTTTTTTTCATTTTGCTTTATGTGGTGCTGAGGAATCAAACCCAGGGCCTCAGGCATGCAAGGCAAGCGCTCTACCACTGAGCCACCTTCCCAGCCCCTATCTTATCAAATTCTATTGATGGATCAAGATTAGAGTTCAAATAGATTAATAGACCCTTTAAAAGAAGATTAAACTATGGTTCTCAACTTTACTGTTACTTTAAAACATATAATGGGTTTATCACATATTTGAATTATTATAAAACACATATTGAGAATGGCTAACTTCCAAGCATGACGTGAAAATAAACAGATTTTAATCCTAGAAAAATCTAATTTTTATTCTAATTAAATGCTGTGTGTGTGTGTGTGTGTGTGTGTTTAGAGGAGTGCAATATGGACTAAGCCTATTATCATTGTCCCATAGCACCAATCTCTAGATAAGCACTAAAGAACTTAACAATCAATACTCAAAAGACACTTGCAAGTTGATGTTAGGCGAAATGAACCCCAAGATAAGGACTCAAATGTTTTTCTTTCTTGCTATTGTTTTTAACATATTTATAAGATATTTCTTTGTTGCTTTGTATGTCCCTCCCCCAAGGTATAACCCCTGTTTTCACTGTATTTGTGGAGGGGAAGGGAAAAAACTAATTGTTTAAATAGGGATACAGGTGGACCCATTGCAACAATGAGATGTACAAGATGTTATGTAGAAAAACAAACTTTACAACTTTGGCACGGGGGTGCGGCGGGGGCGGGAGGATGGGAAGGGATGGGAAGGGGAAACAAAGGAGGAGGCAACAATGCTTGATAAGAAATGTACTCTACCTTGCTCATGTAATGTAACCCCTCTGTATGGTATTTTCACAATAAAAAATGTATTTAAAAAAAAACACTTGCAGAATCAAACTAATAGAGATAAATTACCTCATTTGCTTTTCTTAGTATGATAAGGAAATCTAAAACAGTGGCCTTCTCTCATGGTTTAACAGGAATTCTAACACCAAAACAAAAGTACACTAAATTCCACACTGGTATGACATACATCTCCCCTGCCTTTTAAAGATGGCTGCCTTCTTTTGCCTTTATTTAGAAATAAACAGAAAACAAGGACGCATGAACCAAAAGCCATAGCCCTTCAGTTACATTATGTCAAAAGATACCATTCCAATATCATACAGGAAAAAGATAATCCTTCACTGTTGAATATAAAGTTTCTGCTTTCAATTGTGAAAATGAAAAGGCATTGATCCCATTTCACTCTGAGAGTTCTTCACACAGGGCTGGTTATCTGGAGACGGGAGGTGGTAGTGGGAGTGCTGTCTCCTGGGCTCAGCATTGTCTCTGATCTCACTCATTAGACACCAAAAATAATGTTAAAAATGCCTTTTAGATACTGTCAGCTGTTAACCAAAGAGCAAAATTTCCAGGTCAGAAACACATGCATTTTATAAATATATATTTATTCATTATCTATCCTATAATACCTATCCTGTTTTTAATGTACTTATAATGTACTATGTGATTTTTTTTGTTTCTTTTGTATGTTTTTCCCCCTATGGTATAACCCCTGCTGTCACTATATTTGATTCCAGTACTCTGCATCTAGTATATACATTTTTCTAATTTGGGGAGGGGAAGGGAAATAACAAAATGTTGAAAGAAGGATACAGGTTGACCCATTGGAACAATGAAATGTATGAGATACCATTTTGAAAATGAACTCTACAACTTGGGGGGGGAGGGAGGAGTTACAGAGGTGAGGAGGGAAAGGATCGCTGGGGAAAAACAAAGGAGGGGGGTAACAACGTTCAAGAAGAAATGTACTCATTACCTTACTCATGTAACTGTAATCCCGCTATACGTTATCTTTACAATAAAAAAATTACTAAAATGTACTTACATTCGGAGATCCATAATTCTCAAAGTACTGTCTTTAGTATGGATTAGCAAACGTTTTCCATTGGGATGAACCTCCAAATAATTTATTGGAATCCCCTTAAATTCAGTTTCTTTAATTTCCTAAAGAAGTTAAAAAAAAAAAAGTCAAGGGCTGGGAAGGTGACTCAGTGGTACAGTGCTTGCCTTGCATGAATGAGGCCCTGCCTGGGTTTGATTCCTCAGCACTACATAAGCAGAAAAAGCCAGAAATGGTGCACTGGCACAAGTGGGAGAGTGCTTGCATTGAGCTGAAGAGCTGAGGGACAGCGCCCCGGCCTAGAGTTCAGGCCCCACGACCGACAAAAATAAAAATAATAAAATGAAATAAAATTAACTTTAAAAAAAGTCAATATTAAGTGGTAATATTTACTTCTTTTTGCCTAAGCTTAAGTCCCTTTTAGAGTATTAATTTAAAATGGCATTTTCAATTTCATTATTGGAAATATTTTAAAATTGTTAGGAAAATAATCTCCAGAATCTTCAGCTGAGGGTTGAATGTAAAGATGTCAAATTATACTTTTATTTTATATAACGCTGAATTTAAATGAAGTGTTTTGTATATTATTCACATCCCAAAATATTAGCATTCTAAACAAAAAGCACCTCATGCACATCTATTAACATTGCATTTTCTTTTTAAGAGCAAATAAAAAAAAACTCTCAACTTTACAAAATCTAAAACTTAACTTTTCAAGTTTCAGATAAGTCTCAGATCTTCATACACTTGTCTTAAAAATATTATGTTTTGATTTGCATTTCTTTTATGGCTAGAGAGGCTGAGCATTTCTTCATGTGTCTATTGGCCATCCTTCTTTCTTCTTCAGAGAAGTTTCTCTTTAAGTCTTGAGCCCACTTATTTATTGGGCAATTGTTTCTTTGAAGATTTGTTGTAGGGGGATTTAACTTTTTGAGTTCCAGGTATATTTTAGATACGAAACCCTTGTCTGTTGTGTGGCTAGTGAAGATCTTCTCCCAATCTGTGGGTTTTCTATTGATCTTGCTAGCTATGTCCTTTGCCATGCAGAAGCTCTGCAATTTCATGCAATCCCATTTGTC